AAAAATTAGTGTTATGTTCAATTATTATAATTAATCTTTGGATGCTCTGATTGATCCATCTTGGGTAGGGAAAGTCTTGTCTTCAAGTGGCTCCCTGTTTTTTGACATGATCCCATTAGTGTTTGAGTGCTTCCTTGTTTCTTGGTACCATAAGATATTCTAGGCTAATGCCTTTCCCAAACCTCTATTGATGTCCCAAACTTATAATCAGCCCTTTCTCCCAGGAGCTGTAGCTCCTTATTGTAGGAAATACTGTTCAGAAGCCAAGATTTGGTAAGTATGTTTGTTTTAAATAACTGGTAAACAAATAGGTTCACCTCCTAACAAGGGGAATGGTTAGAGCTAGGAGCTGGGAATGGGTATTTGAGAGGAAGTGCTGGTGTTTAAAAGCACTGTTTCCAGTTTGGGCATTGTCTGATGATCTTTTCCTAAATGTTCTAGGGCGAAATGTGCTACATGTGGATGTCCATGTGGCCTCTGGCTTTATTTACTGGTGTGATTATAGCAGCTCTGTGGCATCTTACAATGCAATCCGTAGAATCAAACCAGATGGGTCTTCTTTCACAAACATCGTTACATATGGGATAGGAGGAAATGGAATTCGTGGCATTGCAGTGGATTGGGTGGCAGGTATGTAAACTATAGAGTGATTTTATTGAAATTTTTTTTGTGTTTGCCTGTCATCTAATTTTATGCTGAGGAGTTTAACCTAACTACAAGTGATATTGATTTATTTTTCCAGACAATCATTGAGKTCATTTGAGATAAATTGTGTGTATTAAATAAATGATAAGGTGTTTCAGTTGACAGATTCACTGCAGATTAACCATATCATTTTCTTCTATTATTAGAACAATCAAAACTGCAGGAAAAAATGGCTAGAAATGTCAAATTAGATCAATTTGTGGTTTTTACACTTGGATTTTGCCCCTGTTTCTGAATTAGAAATGCCTAAATTTTCAAAGAAAAAGTGATATTAAATATGATGTAAATCATAAAATGAAGTTCATACTTTTAAAGTCAAGCAATTTTTAGTTGCAAATACTTACTTGCTTCTCTTGTTAATGTATAAAAGTCCTTTTGGTCCTTATATGCTTCTAATAGCATTTTCTTGGTATGACTGGTGCAGTATACATTAATTGTATTGATTCATACACTTAACGTTTGAATTACTGCTCATTTTTACTTATACTCTAGGAAACAAATGTGTTATAATTTTTTGGAATATAATCCAATTCTAGTCAAAATAGATGTAAGTGGGTGTTATCAAGTGTGGTAAGCAGGCAACACTTGGAAATATTAATATCTATTATGAAATATTAACATCTAGGTCTATAATAGTTTATTGCAAATCATAAATATGGTAGCATAGTTAAATAAGGCTTTAACTGAGTTCCTAACCATCATTCCTGATTATAAAAGCAGGGTCAGTAAAGTATGGGTAGTGGAATAAATATAGCCTACTGCCTCTTTTTGTGAATAAAGTTGTATAGTCAACAGAGCTATGCCCGTTCACTTATGTGTTATCTATGGCTGCTTTCATGTTTCAAGGCACAGTTGAGTACTGTGAAAGCAACCAAATACACTGCAGAGCCTAAAATATTTATATCTGCTCTATTGAGGAAAGTTTGGCAATTCTGGATTAAAGGATTGGGGATCTCTCTCTGAGAGAGAGAGAGAGAGAGAGAGAGAGAGAGAGAGAGAGAGAGAGAGAGAGAGCTCTCAAGTAGAGTTAGGTATTGAAGAAAAGATACCAGGAACATATTTAATATAGCTTGATTTCTCTAGAGGTGTTTTGAGTCAGATATAGGCACAAACTATGTATGCCTTGGTAAGCAGTATTGATAGTTCAACAACAGATTTTTAACTATATGGAATCAATAATTCGGGATCACTCTTTATTCATGATACTATCTTCATGTGATTGTTGTTTCGTTCTAGTGTTTGTATTGTGCTGTAACACTCAAAGGGAATTGGACCATGGATTTGGTGGCTTTTAGAAGGTCCATGGAATGGGAACAACAACATTCATTAGAAAAGATAGAAAAACATCTCATGTTACTTATAAACACAGAGAGCCTTCCATAATATTGGTAGCAACAGGAGGTGCTGATGGCTGTCCCTCTATGCTTCTTTTGTCAAGTTAGAGTAGAAATTATGCCATGATAATGTGTATTTAGGGTTTTTTAAGTGAGTGTTAAAAATTTAGTGCTTTCGGTAGAAGTGGAAGGACATTCTGGAAAATTTACCTTTTGGTAGAAAGCGAGCTAGGACATTTGCTACGCATTCTAATCTGCTTCAGAAGCTGAAGATGGGCACCTTCTCTCTGAATTTGAAGACATGGTTTCTTTAGTTCTTAAGAGTAAGTACTTATTTTTCTAAGCTACACTGAGATATTTATTTATTATCTTGGAAATGATGGCATTTACTGACCCCAACTTCAACCTCACATATTTTGTCCTGAATTTGAAAAGGTCTTCCCTTCCTTTTCTCTTCTTGGTTTTCCATTCATCAGCATCCTCTCCTATTTTCCTTTAGGAAATCTTTACTTCACCAATGCCTTTGCGTTTGAAACACTGATAGAAGTGCTGCGGATCAATACCACCTACCGCCGTGTTCTCCTGAAAACCACAGTAGATATGCCTAGGCACATTGTCGTAGACCCCAAGAACAGATATCTCTTCTGGGCCGACTATGGGCAGAAACCGAAGATTGAACGCTCTTTTCTTGACTGTACCAATCGAACTGTACTTGTCTCAGAGGGCATTGTCACACCACGGGGCTTGGCAGTGGACCACAGCAATGGCTTTATTTATTGGGTTGATGATTCCTTAGACATAATTGCAAGGATCCCTCTTCACGGAGGGGAATCTGAAGTGGTTCGTTATGGCAATCGATACCCAACTCCTTATGGCATCACTGTTTTTGGAAATTCTATCATATGGGTAGATAGGAATTTGAAAAAAATCTTCCAAGCCAGCAAGGAACCAGAGAACAATGAGTCAGTCACAGTAATAAGAGATGATATCAACTGGCTGAGAGATGTGACCATCTTTGATGAACGTGTCCAGCCCCGGACACCAGCAGAGGTCAACAACAACCCTTGCTTGGAAAATAATGGTGGGTGCTCTCATTTCTGCTTTGCTATACCTGGTTTGCATACTCCAAAATGTGGCTGTGCCTTTGGGACCTTGGAACATGATGGCAAGAGCTGTGCCATTTCAACAGAAAACTTCCTCATCTTTGCCTTGGATAATTCTTTGAGAAGTTTACACTTTGACCCTGAAGACCATAGTCCACCTTTCCAAAGCATAAATGTGGAAAAAAATGCCATTGCTGTGGACTATGACAGCATAAATAATAGAATCTACTTCACACAAAATGTAGATTCTGAACGTGGACAGATTTCCTATGTCAGCCTGTATTCTGGGATCCATACTCCAACTGTCGTTGCTTCGGGTAAGTGCACTCTAACTGGAGTTTATCTCAGGTGTAGATAAAACAGGGTCAACATGCATGAATAATTTTCTTCTTCTTCTTCTTCTTCTTCTTCT